GTGTGAATACTATTTAGTCAATTCAATAAAATATTTAAAACCCAGCATTATATTATAGAACTAACATATTCAAGTTAACCTTTTTATGATTTGTCTTTATTATTCACTGAAACCATTTATTAACCATTTCTAAAAAAAGGTGTATTTTATAATTTACGTTTAAAAGTAAATGTATAATTAGAAATTTTATGTTGTAAAAAGTATAAAACTGTGAAGTATGTCTACAAGAAATACATTTATATAATAAGAAAATCTCGAATTGTGTAATTTACACAACAGTTGTCATCAAGTGATTTAGTGAAAACAAAATGGCTATTGTTGTTGTGACTATTTACAGTTATTATATACTGTTTCATCTATTAAAGTTCAAACTGACTAACTTATAATGTTCTTAAAATATTTAGATCATTTTCTTTATTATTATTGAATATATTTTTTACATTGTATAATTACCTTAATTTATGAAGTAACTTATCGAAGATTACAGCCGTAAAAATATCGAATTATGGTTCAATTCGTTGGCAAAGGAACATTATATTAAATGTGAATTATCGCTGTTTACACAGTTTATACAGTTTATACTTCAAATAATATTTCTACTTTCCTAATATTCCTACTTTATTAATATTCCTATGAATGTTAATATTATGACCAATACAAAACAGATATCACTTTAAAGAAATAGAAACTTTAAGCTAAAGTAATAAGAAAAGATCATTCATGGAATTGACATTAGAAAATTGTTCGTTTTAATCGCACAATTTTCTTATTGTTTATTATTTCGTTTACATAAGGGAATTTAACAAATAAACGAGTAAGACATTTATTTTCAAAACTAGCAGACCCCGCCGCGTTGTTGTGGCTCAAAATGTATCTATTATAAATGTATAACACTTCCCCTGTGGGGGGGGAATTTTACGAAAAATTTCTTCTTAGTATACATTCTCTTGACCTACCCTATTAAAACGCAATCAAAAACGCAAAAAACCGCATCTTAAATAGTATAAGTAGAAGCAGAGTTCTTTACTGTAAGCCTTAATCCTGTCCATCTCCCCCAGTGCGAGAAATTTCGACACGTATATGATATAAAAACACGTGCGAATTCGAATGCAGCGTTGTGTCAAAATTTAAAAGGAATCGGTAGGAACAAACGAACATTACATTTTTATTTATATAAATAGATAGAAGATGATCCACTTTACTTCATTTTCACAGAAAAGCGTAATGCCTCGCAGGAAAGCAAACTTAGGGCGTCGTTCTCGTAGCGCCATCTGTTGGACATAAAAGCCTTAACCTAGATGATATATTTTAATTTATATAAATGTTTAACGGAATAATATACAGCCTATGTCCACCCTGAGGTTCCATTCTAAATATTGGTGAAAGAATTATTGAAATCGGATGAGTAGTTTCGGAGATTACCTGCTGCAACGAAACTTACATACAAACATTACCTCTTTATATAGTAGTATAGAGTATAGATATAGATATAGATATAGATTAAAACGTACTTGTAAGAGTTATTCTGGTCAACTGATCCGTAGTATGCGATGCTATTTCACGATTTTATATGCTTTTGTTTATTCCGAACAATATTCATGAAGATCGAACATTAACCACTATCTTGTTTAAACATATGGACATTGCTATGACATACTAACAGCTTGTCTATATTCCAGTCTTCGAATACAAGTCATTAAATTAGTTTCATGAAGCAGTGTTATCAGACAAATGCTGTATTGCTCGGCGCTAAGTTTCCTTCATTGTGTTATACAATATACTGATTATGTTTTCTTTAATTAAACAAAAAAGTAATAAGTTTTTCGGTAGATTTAAACCTGGTTCATATCAATCGCCGATATTTTGATGCCGTTTAAAGATTTTAATGCAAAAATACATAATCTATATCTATATCTATATATATATAAATGGACATGTATGTCCCTATATCTCACTTTATCGCCAAAACTACACATCACACGTGAATGGTGTTTGTATGTGGTGGTAGACCCANACAGCCGTCATAAAATCTCTTTACAGATGGTACTATGTACAACTTTGACAATAAATAAGCGTCATCGTGCTTTTTAAACTGAAGTATAACTTAATTGTAAATTTGTCATATAAATCCATGGTATTATTTCCTTTCAGTGTTGGTGATTACTTAAACTTAATTTACTAATACCATTGAAATTTAATTAACTTTTAATTGCTTTCGTAACTGTTTTTTCGAATGCCAAAAATACGAGCACGACCGGTTGATGTTGAGTGCGTTTTCCTTTATTTTTTTAAGAACGAAAAAATCCGCTCAATATGTTTCAAAAATTCCGTTGATTGCAATGAAAATTTCGAACCGAAACATTACTTTGTATGGTAAATATTTCATTTCATTTTCTAAAAGTAATCATTTATTCATAGAAAACACTGCCCCAAAATACATATTTAAAAATTAAAAACACTCATTAATGAATGATGAACAAAACAATTACGAACAATAACAGAAAAGTATTATAATAACTTATAATAATATGTCCTTAAAAAAATTCTAATTACATCGTCTCAGGACACCACGAAAATGCGAAGTACAATACACATATCAAAGAGTTATGAAATATTCTACATTCCTACGTACAAAAATACTACAAAAGATACAATACCCTCCACACTTTTTACATCACAAAAAACTTAATATGCTTGATCGTCATAAACATAATCATTAAAATTAATTTAATGATAACTTAACTAAATCATTGACAAAATGTACACAAGCTACTAATTAGGTAAAACGAAAGCGTCTTTCATTTTTTAAACAATTCTTGAACGAAAGATTTCTTCATGATAAAGTCTTAACCATTAGTTGAAATGCACTCATTCATTTATTAATTGTTTCTTTTCTTTTCTTTACTCGTGTATTTAGTGAAATACACGAGAAAATTTGCATTCAAAATCAATACTTACATTTTAACGGAGGATCGATTAAAAGTTTCTTATCGATTAATTTTCGATAAATTTTTCATTTTATTGAAATCTCCAAGTGATTTTAACTTGTCGTGCTTTGAATTTTTAATATTATATTGCGAGTATAAAAGCATTAAGTTTGGATATCCATTAATGAAATAATTATCTTACAAGGTAGGATCTGTTTTCAGGAACAGTCATACCTTCAGTCACGTGCTTAGAGAAGTTATAATTTCATTCACTAAAAAAAAACATTATGCTTATTAAATATTCTTTTTAATCTTTTATTTTGATAGGCATATTCATAAAATTGATTTAATAATGAATTTAATCCATCTGATCGTAAAATTTAAAGTGAATTATCGATATTAGAACGGTTCATACTTGAAGTAATAGTTCGACCTGTTAAAGATGTTTACTTTATTAATGCACATCGATAATTTGCGCTATTAACATGTTTATTTTGTTAATGGATATCGGCAAGAACAATTTTCCTTGAACTTTAGTACAGTGTATATGTTATTGACTATTCAGTGGCGTAGCGTAGGTGTCAGCCGCCCGGAGCAAAGGAAAATTTCGCCGCCCCCTTATTTAGGTATTTCAATTTAAAAGACTAAAATTCAATTTCCTCACAGAATAAGTAATGAAAAATTTCGTGCTAGTGTTGCCACCTTTTTAACATCGCCGACCCGGACGGCAGGTGAGGTTTGTTCGAACAGAAGTTCCTGACGCATGCGTATATCATTTTGCAATGAATAATAATTTGCAGTGCATGCTGGTTCTAAATCAGTTACAGTTAGCGACTAGAGAGACTTGGGTAGGAGTAATGTAAGTAATCTACTTAGCCCTATTGGATATTGGAGGTGTATATGAGTACCAATGAATCGTACAAGCAAAAAAAAAAAAAAAAAAAATTCGACAGGTTGCTGCGCACAATATCCCCGGACGGTGAGTCGGATGATAACACTATTTTCACTATTCCGCGCTCATTTTAACCGGCCCGAATCGTAGGTGGACAAAAATATGAAATAAAATGGTTCAAATTCTTACAAGATATTATTATTATTTATTGTGAAATTTTGCCGCCCTTTAAAAAGTGCGGACCGCCCCTGCCGCCCCCCTATGCTACTATACTGTGACTATTAAATCAATTTTATAAATATGAATATCAAAATAAAAGAAGAAAAGGCTAGTGAAATTCACAACGCTCTCATTTCAACGAAAGGTAACATCATTTGAAACTTTTAAGCTACTAATGATATCGATATAACTTCAATTCTTGAAATTATGACTGACAGAATTTCCAGGTGAATTACTTCATAAATTAATAACAATTATATTATATCAAGAATTATATTATATCATAATTTATTAAAATATTGAATATAGACATTTTTTATTCTCTGTTATATAGAGACAGCACTAGTGTAAATTAAAATAATTTGCATAAATATGATTTGAAATTGTTTTTTATATGTAACTACTTCATTGTTGACCTTGTTCACTGTTTTATACAATTCAACACTTCAATTGTGCTAAAATGGTTTTTTCAAAGAAACTAAAAGTGTCAAGAAACATTTATTTACTAAAATATTAAGTAATGGGCATAATATAAAAATGGCCCAACTAAGGTAAAAAACAAGACTTTCATACTGAAAAAATTTAACGTTTATTAAAATAATATTTTATTAAATAAGATATTATTTTTATAAAAAGAAAGTATTAAACTAACATCGATTACTTAATTAATAAGGTAACTGACTTCAATTCATTAATTAATCATGAATTTATGCCTTCTTATATTTTATATATTATCAAGCAAATCATATTAATATTCAATTCATATACATTATTATAAATTGTTTATGGACGATATAGTTTATGCAAACATGATTTAATAGTTGAAATTTTTGCTCATAATTTGTGTCAAACAACAGGAAATATGTATTCTAATTTACAAGAAGAGATTTGTTTGACTTGTTTGTTAGAACCTTTCGTAAGGATAGCTATCATCTTTGGCTTCGATATTTTTATCATATGTAGCCGCAGAAAAAAAGTGTTCAGGCTAAAAGTTATTAAATTAAAAAATAATTATGTCAGATTCATTAAATATGCTTTATGGCAATTGACTTTGTTGTATTTCTGGCAGATAATACCGGGACTGAATAAATACGCAATTTGTAAAGGGTGGCTTGATTATGTAACTAATCAGCCAATGCTATTAACTGCTGCTTTTGCAGCAAGTCAGTTAATTTATTCTATGTGTTTAACTATTCTTACGAAAAATGACAACAAAGTCAATTTAGAAATTGATTTAAAACATGAATACTTCCAACGAGAAATGTTACGCAAAAAGAATTCTTCACTTAGAAAGGTTACCTTGTTCATATCTTTTTATACAATAATGGCTACTATTGTGTCTCAATTTCTGAATGTATATTTTTATTATCCCGGAGTAGAAAAAGGAAAAAAATTTGAAAGCGAGCCACTGCTATGCTCTATTCTGTATGCTCTAGGTATGATACCTGCATTAACAGGATTTGCATTGTCTATATTATTCGTAGGTTTATTCTTGTTCACCGCCTATATAGAATTTCAAAATGTTTCGTTTCAACTTTCCTCATTGAACAAGAAATACAAGAACATGCCGAATATATTGAAAGAATTGATGCTACGACAACAAGAATTGTGGATTTTCGTCAATCAACTTAACACTAAACTTAATTATCCATTTTGCATTATGTATTTTTCTGTTATGTGGATAACCAACTTTTGGTTTTACACATACCTATTTGTAGATGTGAATGATTCAATGCGTATAATTGCCATAATAATGTCCATAATTTGTACCTTCGTGTTTACAATTTTGGGTTGTTTACTGTCTTGTTTCGCATTTTCGGTAAGTATTCATGTTAACGATTTATTTTTTTCGAAAGCTAATTTCTTACTTTTTAGATGCAGAATGGTTTTCAAGATATTCGTCAATTTGCAGATTGCAGTCTCAAACTGGAACTGAAACTCAAGGTATGCATGTACTTATGAGAATACTTTACTCATAATAAGGTGCATTATGTCATTAAAATAAAATTCAATGATAACACGTTCTTGACAACTTTTAATTGTATCTGATATTGAGATTATTGTATATTTCGTTTTAAAGATTTTAGATTTTATGAAGAGATTTGGAAAAGTTTCCTTGTGTCTTTCAATCGGTGGTTTCTTTGCTGTGGATAAGAAAATTATTTTCAAGGTTATTTCAGTTTATAATCATATAAGTATTTAATAAGTTTCTAACTTTAAAAAATTATAAGACATTTTTAAATTTTAATTTAACTACATAATTTTGAGTTTCGTTCTTTTTCAGATGGCGAGTACATTGCATTCTATTCTTTCAGGACTTTTAAAATTAAGGAATGCATCGAAAAGGAACAGAAAATGTAACAAAATATTCTTATCTAATTCTACTGAATATAACTAATGTACAGCATATGAAATCTCGTTATTGGTGAATGTTTCATCAGCGAAGAAATATGTCACCGTTGTAATATTCATGATATGAAATTAATGCAACTTTCAATAGACTTATATGTGAAAGAACAAAATTCTTTCGTATTTCAAAATTCATATCTGAATTGATTTTCAAACTTCAAGTGTAATGCGTAGGTAGGAAATTAGCACACACAACATGACATTTTTTGTACTGTTACACGGCTCTGTTTGCAAAGGAACATTATAGGAGCAGTAATGAACTATCAAAATGGTGGTTTTAAGTCATTATTTAAGATTGCTTTTTCAAGAAAGAAAACAACGGTAAATAACACTGATGTTGATAAATTACACATTTAATGTGTTCTTTGCTTGGAATAAACTCAAAAAGGATTGATAATGCTAATTTTTCAAAGTTATATAAAAGTCCAATTTGAACAACTGCAGAAATGAAAATGATCGCATATTGTAGAGAGAAATAATTGAAAATCGACGTTCGTGTCAAATCATTTGCGAATGATCTATTATAAAAGTTCGAAAATCACCAAGACAGAGTTTGTTTTAAGCATGAGACATTACATAAGATATTGTTAGTATTCATTCTCTTTGTGTGTAACAGAACGGATTCACAGAGTTTTCTTTAAATTACAGCAAAGGTCAACCGCAGATAACTACGCATGAAAATCTTTCTTGTACGATATTTTCAGAGCTATTTTTTGGCTCACAATTTCAGTAGCGATGATTTCGATTGTTAAAGCTAAGAACCTCCAGGGGTGGTTATTTTTTTAAACTTTGTATTCACGGCAATCCCTTAAACTAAATTACTGAAGTAAAATCACACGTTGCAACGCCTTGCATAGAGTATTAACCCTGTTTCAATGGTGTCTGTAGTGATATATTATAGAAGAGTATCAAACAAACTTTTTTTTCGGCAGTGACATTATATAGAGTAAAATTTAGTTGGTAATATAAGAATTACCTAAATTCAAACCTTTCATATACTGTTCGCAAATGACTTTTTTAAGTAGGTTAATTTCTTTTTATATTTTCTTCATATTTACATTCGAGACATTAACTGCCACTATAGGACAATAGTTAATGTAAAAAGTATTTTGTGAATTGAATCTATATATATAATCTATAATCGAGATAGGTAGATAATAATAATAATAATAATAATAAGCGCAGAGGCCAAACGGTTAGGAATTGAAAGTTGAAATTTGGTACACAGAGGACGTCATGAGAACGTACATGAAGAAAAGATTTTTTTAAATCCCTTTCGGGGAGAGGGACAGGATTAAAACAATCTCGAATATTCTATAAGGAAATTGACTATAATTAATTAATTACGAAACATTGGCTGTGTGTATGATTATTCAATTATTATATAATTTTTTAAAGTGTTTCTCGACATTATCTATGCAAATCAAATGTGCTAATGATTGAAGTTATACGGATTTAGTGATAACAATTTGTGTGACGAACAGGAAACATGGCAGAATAATGTCTTACATCATCGGTTTCGATATTTTTAACGTAGGTAGCTGTAAACACAAAGAATTTGCGCACAGATATGTTAAATTAAAATTAAAAAATATATATATTCTAATTTAACATATAATATATACATATATAATACATATATAAAGTACTTGACTTGTTAGTATAGTAAATATAAAGGTTTTATTGCTTATATAATGAAACAAAACTACACAAAAAGCTTATTTATTCAATCTATTGTCTGCCAAAATAACACAAATATGCAATAAAACCTTTATATTTACTATACTAACAAGTTAAGTACTTTACTTTTGCAGTAAAGTACTTGACTTGTTACACTTGCTTCACTATTCTCACCAATAAAGAAAACAAACTCAATTTAGATGTGAAATTAAAAAATAATCATTTCCGATAAAAAATGATACTCGAAAACTGAGAAATATTTTTCTGTTCACATTTTTCTGTGCAATAAATATTACTGCTTTTTACTTTATGAATGTTTATCTTTATTATTCCGGAGTTCGATTACTTTATTCTGTATTCACTGTTATCTTATTATGAAATGTTCTGCTTGTTTGTAAATTATTAAATTATGCACCAAACTATCAATTCTGTGAGTAGAGTACGTTTTTCTTCATATCTATTACTGTATTGAGTTGTGGGTCCAGAACACAACAGAGAAGAATAACTATGTGAACGAACATAAGCAACACCAGTAAATTAATTATTATGCAAATGTAAACCATCATTCTAAATTAATTTTTGAACAATGTTCATTTATTGCTTTTCTGTAATTGAATAGGTTACCCCTGAAGCTTTCTGAAGTTTAACAATTTGCAATCTTTGCATTTTGATTTTGCGATAATTTAAGTTATTTTTAATCTACAGAGATGAAATTTATTATTTACTTCTCTGCATTTATTCAAAAGAATCTTTGTACCCTATTCCATGTCAACGTTACATAATATTTTATTCGTCTTGAGTATAAAGTCTAAAATATTCATTAATCTTTAATCATAATCGCTTTCAGTACTATTGCTTAAATAGATAATAATCTTATTACAATTAATTAATTTGTTAACAAATATTTATATGAATAATTGTATTTTAATTGAGGTTTTAAAAGAGTTGTGTGTATTGTACATTCATGTGCAGTATAGGTTTCATAAGGCAGTATTTTCCAAATTGCGGTGTGCGTATCATTGTGTATTATTATAGCTTTAACGTTAAAATTTAAGTGATTTTTCAAATAAATTCTGCTGTAATCAAATATATAAAGAATAACCAAGAGGATTTTTAACTCGGCTCCTGAACTCAGACACTCATAACATGAAAGTGATGTGTCAAGAATTCCTTTTTATTTTAATGTTTATAATCTATATATTTTTTATGGCTTTTGGACAGGAATAGAATAAAATATTTGTTAATGTGACTAATTGAATCACTTCTGTCTTAGCTCATATACTTAATAATATCTTTAATTGTATTGTAGTTAACTATTAAAATTAATTGTACATTTATTAAAACGGCATTTTTTATCCTATTTTAATATGATATTAAATATAATTTATTGACTTATTTGTATTAAATCATTGTATTAAACCATATTTAACTTCACACAAATCTTTATAATCATAAAAATAATTATAAAGACTTTGTATGAAGTTAAATATATTACTCAAGATTAAATAAAAATTATTCTTCAAACTAGTAAAGTATTTATATAAAAAATTTAATTACAAGATATTATTTCTAGAACACAGAAAACTTTTTAAAAATTTTATAATCTCCTTGCTGACTCTCTTGTCCTAGTTTCTTACACGCTACAAATGCCAAAGATTTTAATACGCTTCTAACGTCGAATGACCTATGACCTATTCTATTGACAGACACGTTTTGTAATTTCATTTTAAATGCTTTATACATAAGTTAATTTCTTACATTAAACTTTTAATCTTTCACAATTCAAAACTGGTTGATAACATACGAGATTCAAAGTTATTAATCAACCTCACTTGAAATTTGGGCTAACGTCTTTCTGGACATGAAGACACCTGACCTAATTTTTATAAAAGTAACATATTCTTTATTATTTTATATACATTAAGGACTGGATAAATTAAGAATGGATCTTGCAGCACTAAAATAAGTTAAATTTGTTGATAAAATTTATTTAATTTTTTAAGTATTTACTACTTCCCTCCCTAGTATTAATTACATAATTAAAACAAAAATACACATTCACTACTAAATATTTTCTTTATTATTATTATTTTTTACTTGATTAATCAAGTTTAAAGCATTTCATTTTGTAAAAATGTCTTTAAAAAATGAAATTGCTTGATTATAGTTTAATAAAACAAAACTTTATAAAACTACTACTTTTAAATATATACAATTAATCATTTATAAAACTGGTCCTCTACTTTCTATCGATTTTCGTGCTTGTGCTAAATAACGTTTCAATTCATCTGGCATCTCTCCTTCTCCTGAAAGTGGATCCTCTTCTGGTGGAATATCTGAAAAATTAAATATTATAAGTTGAATATTTCAGCAGCCCAGTAATTTTGCTCTTTCTAATGTGAATAAATTCATTTTCCTATGTAAGATAAATTATAGATTTTAACAAGACACAGATACAATTAAAAACAATAATAAATTTTAAATTATAGAAAAATATCAAAGGAAAATATTTCAGTAGTGTTTAAATAAATTAAGTTTAATTGTTCTTTATGTGTAATGTAGTCGAAGTTAATGATCGGTCAAAGAACGATCCCCTAAATGTTCACATTTTTTTAATTTAGGACACCTTAAAACGTTCAGAAATGTAAAAAAAATGCGGGTATTTTCTCCTGTATGTATGGATGTTAGTGAATGTGGGGGCACGATTTTGTTCTCCTTCTTTAAAGCTTAATAACTCCTGTCGGTGATTAAAGGTCGGGAGATAAAAGGGAGTCTGTATCTCCAGTAGAGTCAGATTTTATAAATATTTTGTTCATTATTAGCATTTATAAATTTTAATAAAACTCACATCCATCCTCAAAATTAAGTTTTTTGGCTTTTTCGTAATAATTAATTATATATAAGTTTTTATAATAAAAGATGATAACAGATGGCATTACACGCAATTTCAAATGTTATTGTCAGGAAAGTTACACAACTCGTTGCTGGATTTTTTGCTGTAAAGGAGATGGGCATAATGCAAAATCTTAAAGTGAATAGGGAATTGTTTGCATTTAATTTAATAGGGTCTATTTGGACAACATGTACTGTCGCAGAGTTTAATTATAGTACTGTACGTAACAGTTTGCTAAATTTTATAACGATATGCCATCTAATATACTGTAAAAGTCATGTTCTTTCTGCCATATACTGTACTTGTTTTATTTGTGTTGTATATTATTATATACTTTAAATATTTATGTAATAAATTATGTAAAATGTATATCTAAAGTATTCTGATCCCAAAGTAAATAATTCAAAAATAAGTATACAAATCAATCGCTATTTTTGAAAAAAGAAAATTCAATATTTCTATATATTTGTGAGAATAATATAATTCTGTATACAAATATGTTAACAGTTAATAAAAAATTATCGATATTTATTTATCAATTACAGGATATTAAGTATATTTTAAACCTAGAATCTTTCCCTAAAGTAGGGCATGGCATGAGATGTGTCGTGTAACGAACCTTACCTTCAGCAATGGAAAGTTCTAATTCAATTGCTTTTTTCATTTTTTCTTCTTTTTCATTAAATTTTCTAACAACTCCATAATGAATCAAAGCGTAAATAACACAAAATCCACCAGAAATTATTCCCATTGCACGAAAAGCTATTCTTCCACCGTAATTACTCATAATGTTACCACCTATAAAACTACCGGACCCACGACCTGAAAGTACAGAAAGTATTATAGAATTTATTTTACATATTAAACATGTTACAATTTACTTACCAACTCCATAATGTATACCACTAACAAATCCTTGCATTGTTCCCAAAAGACTCCTCGGACAGAGCTTCGCACTGTAAGTAGCTGCAGCAACCCACATGGTGTGATAAGTAAATGCTTCCATGGCTTCGAATGGAATGCACCACCATGGGTTACTTATAAAAGAATAACCAAAACATCTGATGAAGTAGAACATCAGTGCAATTATTAACAGATTTACTTGTCCTATGTGTCTTACGAACCATTCTGAGTAGTGAAGAAAGGGTAGACCAATTCCAGAGCCAATAGTGAGAGTTAATCCAAGAAGATATGTGGGACTATCTAAATCTAACAGATACCAGAAGAGAAACGACTCTATGAAACCCCATACCGTACCTAACCAGAAGATTATAAAAAAGAGAATTATAACAACTGGTAATCTGAATAGCTTGACTGCATTTTTCCATATGTTTTCTTCGGGTAGGGCCAACTCCATTTTAAGTGAAGCTACAGCAAAAACTGTTAATATAGTTAATCCGTTAAAGAAATAAAATGCGGGAGAGTAATCGTTATGCCCTTTTTCACTCACGAAATCTACTAAGATTCCAGTAACGGGGGAGAAGATTGCAGTAGCTAATATAGCCCAAAATCTTTGGCGTCCATACTGTCCACCATGCGATTCTACCATATGTAACGTGGTAGCATCAGTTAGTGAAATGCAGATAGCCACAAATATTTGAAACATGACCCTTAACCCAAAATATATCCATACAGTTAAGCGTTTATTAGTGTTAGTATGGAAACAATTTCCGTTTAAGTAATTGGTTTCGTTAGTATTGGAGACTAAAGTTATGTTGCAATTGATAGTGCAGTTTTCATCATCTATATCTTCCGAATAACAAAGCAGAGGGGTCTTAGATGCTGAAATTGAGTAACTGCAAAGATCTTCTTTTAGTTCTGGCATATCTAAGTGTATATTTGTAATGGATATGGATGAAGTCATGTTTGTTTCGTAGCTGGAGTTCAAATTACCATGTAAAGAATTGAAACATCTCTTATCACAACTTGAAGCAAATAGATCATACCTGACATTTGAATTATTTTCGCATTTTTGGTTACAACTTTCAATTATTAAATTTAATTCCGAAGAGTTACATGTTATGTAGCGATGAGGAACATGCTCATAAGTGTTGGCTGCTGGAGGTACAAACATAATGGCTGTACTGAAAGCTGAAGTTAATAAGAGAGAAATGATTAAAACTGGCTTGTATTGCCCTAATTTATCAGCCACTGCACCTGCTAGTGGGGAACCCATAATTTGTGTAAAGGGTAGAAATGTGTAAATGTAAGAAGTCTCTTCTACAGAAATTCCAAGATCTTTCATGTGTATAGTCATGTAAGGAATTAGACACGCATGAGCTGAAATTTTAAAAATACACATGTATTATTTCATTTTATCAATTAATATTCTTTAAAATGCTAAATAAAATACCTCCAAATAAACAAAACAGAACTACTTTTAAAGGTAAAAGGTCCACATCAATTTCTGGTAACTTCATTTTGCTGTTAAAGATATAAATTAGTATATTTTTGAACAATAAATTAGCTTAATACATAAAAGGTCTTTATTAAAAATTATATTAAATAAAGGATTTAAATACTTCTTTCCGGAAATTTCAAAACTGAAATAGTTTAAACAATTTGCAGCACGTGACACATATATAACCATTTACAATTAACATTAAAACGTTAAAATGCGTTCAACACGATTCACTTATGTCTTTAATAGGCTATAATGAGTAACATTTTAATTCAATTTTCTTAAAATACAGAGCAAAATTTTACTATGCCGTATTGAGTACATTATTTGGAAAAAAACTACATGCAATTCAGGGTATTTATCACAGTGAGTACGTTTCTGTGATTCTCTGTGTTTGGAGTGACAAGAACTGGAGAAGCAACCTTTGCTAATAGAGTCAGATTCGATGGCACTAGGATTAAATTAATATGTAGAACAAGGCAATCTGACAGGGAAGGGTGCATCCCGGAAGAAATTTCTTCAAGCAAATTAGTTTCTGTTTACGTGTTAAACATCGAAACTCCATTTGGTCGACGTATAAATGTGACGGGCCACTGGCGAGCTTTGAAGACAATAAGACTGGATTAATCTATCATTCACCATCTGCACACACTTCGAAAGTTCATTGGGGGCTCTGTACAAGCCCCAAATTATCACGTTTAGGTGCCAGAAATTTAGTTGTAATTTATCTTCCTCACTATTATATAGAAAAAATTTTGTTTAATCGCTAAATTATCATTATTATTATATTATTAATATGGGCCCTTGGCACTTGGAGGCCCAGGGCTTAGGACCTATTAGTCCCTATGAAGATTCGCCTCTGCATACCATTATCTATTTTACTATTTCCATTTTCTTTATCGTTATTAAAACGGTTATGCATTTATTATCCAAAAGAACCATTTAAAAAACATTTTTAATTTTATATTATTCAGTTAAGAACAATAAACAGTCAAACCTCTGAACAACGGCCACCGATAAGAACATAAAACATTTACATTATTTGGAGGTTACTTTGTGTGCATTTTTGTTTAACGTTCTTGAAAAAAATGGTGTCTTTTATTGGAGGTTTGACTGTATTAAACATTATTGCTAATTATAAAAGAATTTCGTTTCTATTAAATGAAAATAATTAGATTTTTTTTCATTTATTTACTTATAACTTTGTTATTTTTGTTTTAAATATTTATAAAACAAAAAGATCATAAATAAAAAGTTACGTATCTAGTTTGACATGTTTAAAATATAGCAGTTTGACAAAGACTTAACGAAACATTTCTTTTATTTTTTTTATCTAAATCCTTTTAGAGTATAAATCTTGTCATCTTCAGAAGAATCCATGTGATGAAATATTTCTTAGTAGGTAAAATAATACAGGAATAAAATTAAAACAGCATTAAATTATTATAATTTTTATGCCTTTTTTAATTTAAAGTATTTGAAACATTTCCCACAGGCTCAGGGAAATGTACTTTGTAAATTATACACCAAAAAATGGCTGATAAAATATATAAAATGGTAAAATATATCAATTTTTAGACAGTTATAACAGGAAATTTATATCAGTCGTAAAAGCTAAAGTTTAATACATGATGGATACGATTAGCGGAAGCGGAATCTATAGTATAAATTCATATCAATGCAGCATAATTAAACATATACGACGATGTTTCTGTATTCAAAAAGGAAGTTTTTATCTAAAATAAACATTTTAATTGTATACTAAATTCAAAATATTCAAAAATACTTCTTTGTTTTACAGTTTGATACTAGGAAATATACAGATTGTGCCATAAGTCTTGAAGTTATGTAGATTTTTGTTTATACTTATACAGGAAAAGCATGACACCGAGTAAGAAGGAATACATTAAACCTATTTTGGTGATGGGAAATTACTGTTAGAGTGACGTTGCCAAGAAGTTTAACAGACTGCGCCCGGGTCTCTGTTGCATAAAACTCTTGTAGTTATTTCAAAGGCTTTATAAGTTACAAAATACAAGCAAAATGTATTCAATTAAACGTTTAGTAACAAGTTACAAGCTACTAGTCTTAAGCTTCAAATTACTGATAATCAGTAACGAGTTACAATTGCTACAAGATACATACATATTAGTCTTGTAGATTGTAACTTTATGCAACAGAGTACGGGATTAGAGGGATTTCTGGATGAAACCTGTTAAACATTACGGCAACTTTACGCCCTTACTTGAAAATAAATCACATTCATTTCTTTTTTATTCGCCTCCTTTACCAGTAAAATAAATGAAGAAAAATCGACATAACTCCTGCTAAATTAATGTTAATAAAATAATAAATACAAATAAAACCATGCAATTTATACATGATATATATTTCTATTTATTTTTCACGTGTAGATTATTTAATACACACAAAACGTAAAGAGAAAAATTTAAATGACCTAATTAATAACAGAAATACTTTCGTAGTTCCATGTATAATTTATAAGCGAGTTTTTCGATTTATCGATCGTAAAAATTGATTAAAATTGGATATTTCTATTATAATTTTACATTAAATTTACTTACCTGTTAACCACGAAATTCGCTTCTATGCCTTTTCTTTATTTAAAGCTAACTGCTTATCGGTTGCAACTAAGCCAAAATTACAATGTCCACTATTCTCTGCCATTGGTTAATAGCAGATAAGTGTAAATAACATGAAAATTTTTAATTTACTGCTTTGTTATTCTTTACTCTTTTACTTTAAATATCTCTGTCAGATTTCATAGAAAGTCATTTTTAACCTTTTCAGATCTAATTAAACTATTGTAATAATTTAAAAAAATGCAAACTGTAGCATATAAAATTTGTTTTAATTGGTACAATTAGTCAATTCATTTAATTTTTTTTCCTTACACGTAAAAAAATACAGTATAATTTTCAATAATTTATATAAATAATCAATTAAATATTATTAAAATTTATATAATAAAGCTTTTTAAAGTGTAAATGCTCTCAATTTCTTCAATAAAAACGCTGATTATGACATACATACAGGATTTTTTTGTTTATTTAAAAAATCTTTACTTAAAAAAACGTATCGAGCGACCTAATTCGTAAAGAAATTCTTTAATACATTTATAATAATATAAAATTTTTTATAATAATCTAAACAGTAATCGTATCAGTTGAATATATCGTTATCTACGTTAAATAAAGGATAAAATTAATGGTAATAAAAATCCAGCAACGAGTTGTGTAACTTTCCAGGAAAAATAACTTATAATCTCTCTGTTATGATAACTTTTTATAACATTTTAATATTATTAATTCTTATAAAACGGCAAAAAGCTTAATTTTGAAGATAGTGACGAGTTTTATAATGAAAAAAAATTTGTATATGGTAATAACGAGTAAAATTTTCATAAAGACCTATCCCACTCGAGATACAAAATGTAACTCCCTCTGACTCCCAACTTCCTTGTCTTTTAATTATTAAAATTTAAAAGCATTAAAGTCCGTAATATACAAATTTCCTTGCAAAATTTCAGAAAATTTCGACAAAAGGTACAGGAGTTATTAAGCTTCGAAGTGGGTAAATATAAACAAAATGCTGCCACCTATTTCCACCCACACACACATTAACATTACATTACATCGTATATGGCCGGGATCGAATGAAATTTGAGTATTTTGTTACTGCCAATTCTTTTATATCCTGTGCAAGTAAAGTTCTTGTATTTTGGTTTTTAAGAGTGTGAATAACTACCCTGCTGTCAGTGTATATTATTATAGGTCATTTATGTCATTGGGATTTTTTGTCAATATGTTGTAAGGCTTTGAAAACACCTCAAAGCTCTGCTTGCGTGATTGTGCAATAATTCGCCATTTTAAGGCTAGCCTGATAAGTCTTAATGTTCTTTGGGTCAAAGATTACGATCCCACAACCAACTCCTTCTGCCCTCCTCGAACCGTCCGTAAATACTCTCCAGCAGTCTTCTCTGTGGACAGACATCCTTGTTTTCCATGTTTGTTTCGTAATTGATAGCTTGTGAAGGGTGTTTATCCATGTCGCCTCTCAATTTGGTTGTCTTTTATTTCTTGTATGAGGTTATTGCTATTCGGGGGTAGTAATTTATTCTTAATTTTATTTTTAATATCCTTAGCATTAAAACTGCTGATGTCGTCTTTTATTAACGTCCATTCCCAGTTGTTTTGCTTTAAGGTCAATTTGTAGGATGTTTGCCAATACAGTACTAACATGCCATTAGTCGGACCAGTTCTATACGCTTTACAGATATTTATCATAAATTTTCTTTGGATCATTCATAGTTTCCTCTTTATTTCTGTTCTGCTAATGGCTTCTCCCCACACTTGTACCCATATAAAATTGTCGGCTCGATTGCCGCTTTATATATTAACTTTGTAGATTTGTAATTGAGACCTCAAACTTTAGGAGATGTTTGCAAAAGTATATTTATTTTTTGAAGCATTTTTTGATGGGTTTTTTACGGGACTTTTCCAGGTAAGGGCCCTGTCAAAATAAATTCCTAGATACTGCATCTCATTGACATTTTTTACCTTATTCCCCTTTATGTATATTCCGGCTTATTTCTTTAATTGTCCTTTATCTTCTTTGTACTCACTAGTATCCCACATTTCGTATAGTTAATCTAAAGTTTATGTTTCTGGCTCCACTCACCTATTTTCCTTGTTGCTTTATTGTCCTTTTCTGCTTTTATCCGAAATCATCAATTTAACATCATCGGCAAAAGCCTGTATTTTTGTATCTTTCCTTTAATTGAATTCTTCTAGCAGGCTGTCATAGCCTAGGTTCCAGAGGCCTGGCCCACTCCTCGAGCCATGTGGGCAACCTCTGGTGACCTTTCTTCCAATTGTAATGTTCTTGGAATAATATCCTGTCGTCCTGCTGTGTATTTTCTTAGAATCACTTGAATATTGGTGAAGCATCATTCAGTCTTGTTCAAGCGTTTGAAGATTCTAAACTCTGAGGGCTGCTTGGATTGTAAAACGCCCTTTTTTGAATCCAAATTGACGATCATTTAGTTTATTATTCTTTTGTAGATGGTAATAGATTATCTAAAAATATGGAAGTGATATGTGTATTATAAAATCTGCTTTGTTGATTTTATCGATTTGTAAGCACATTTTTGTAGCTTATGGTGCAGTTGTGATGAAACTTGAAATCGGTTCGAGCTTCATCACATCTCTTTCCAGCTCCGAAAGGGTCCTTGTAAATTGATAAAAACATGAAAATACTGCTGTATCTCGATTTTACGAATCCCAGTTTAACAGATTTCGAAAGAAAATAATTAAATTTAACCGTTCCAAGACACATAGCAAAATGAAACTATAGTAATTGCAAGTGTCAGTGAGTGGATCCCCCTCCTCTTTTTATATTTCTTGATATTTTGACAGGAAAAATTCTGTGTGTGTGTGTGCAAGTGTGTATTTGTGTCGACATCTGTCTTACATTATACCTGAGAACTGGATAAACTTTTAATAATATAAAAGTTATTTTTTAATAAAATCTTATAACAGGTGACACCGTATATAATTTTAACTATGTGTTATTGTGTCATAATGTTTTTAAACATTCTTAAAATAGAAAAATTTCTCATAATCCAACAAAATTATTTTTCATTTTATGATCTTGGTGGATGTTACTGAGGTCAGATCTCAAATATTTTGATCATGTGAGAAACTCAAACTAAATTAAAATTTTCAATTTTTAAATTTATATAATTATTTTAGGCAACTCTGAAGTAGGAAATAACTGCTGGAATCGTTATAGAATTTAAATTAAGCATTAAATTTAATTTTCGCAGACAAGCAGATTAATTAATGTTCGTATGATACAGAAGGTGACGAGATAAAAGACATTATTTATCCGTAGAAAAACTGACCTACGTCGAAACGATAATGTCACAGAATATGACAGTATATTGATAAAATACGGTCGATATTTAATCGAAGATTAATACTGAATAGACTCATTGTTAATTATCAAATTGTCTAAACATCCAAAGATAGCCTAAATGATCGGGCTATTTTTAATAATTAATACAAATTATTTTGCTACTAGATTATTAGTGAACCCTTCATTAGTGAGTAATTTTTTTTCAACAGTTGAATGTTAAACAATGTTTTATTTTTGGAAAAGCGCTATAACTATAAATAATAAAAAAATTAAGGTAAGCTACACCCCTAAACAAATAATAGAAGTGTCTGGTAATCACGTGAGACCTATGTCATCAGGTGTCTTCTTCGTGTGCACAAACAATACATTAACGTATAATTTTTATTGGTGTTAATATATATATATAAATCAATGGATTTAATGAAATTGTGAGCCTTTTAAACACATTGTGTGCTGTAATACATTTTAAATTTACATATTTTAAATAAGTGTAATAATATTCAAAGTTAAATTAAACAAAAACAATGATTAGCTTATTAAATTTTTTTTAAATATTCACCCTATGTAGAAACAAATTTAAGCATAAAATTAGTTTAATTTTACTACTCAATAAATAAGGAAACACTTAAATAATACAATGGCGAAAGGCATTAGAAAACCTGAGCGAAGTCCACAAAGAATTCAGTTTTTAGTCAGAGAGTCGGAGGAAGTAATATTGATATAATAAAAAAATTTCAAATTTTTCTTAATAATGCCACTCACTACAACTTAAAAAGCAATTGCAAAAAATGTACAAAATACTTTATAAAAGTTTACAACAAATACATTACACACAGTTTAAATTCAACTGTGAAAAATGGACGTAGAAAATAAAAGTACTCTCACCTGTTATCTGTTGCCATATTGACACTATTATAGCTAGCGCTTTATAAAATCGTATTTGTAACTATTACATATCTTTAAAATTATATATTCATGTGGCCGATACGGTAAAATCTTCAGGAGAAAAGAAATTTCACATTTAATTCGTTCAAAATGGTAGAACATGATGGTGGGATATTTAGCGATGGTTACTCATCACACAACATTTATAATCATGCCGTTTATTTATTTTAAAGTTATTCTTATATACTACAGTTTTGGACAGTTTTTATCTCTTGTTTAAATATTTGTTTTAGTTATATAATAATTTATCTTTAAGATTTCTTGGGGAGAGAAAAACAAAAATACAGTTTTGTTAATCTTTATAATATCGAATAGTATATTTTTATTTATTTTTTAAAATAATATGCTAGATATTTTTCTAAAAAAATAAATAATTTATTTATGTATTATGTAATGAAGAAGGTTTGTTTGTTTGTTTGTTTGTTCTTTATGTATTTTTTGATACGGTTTAAGCAAATGTAATTAAACTTTTCAGGGTAGTCTCGAGTTACCTAAGTTACAACGCGGTGTTAACATTGTCACGTGTCACAAACTCGTTTAGTGAATAGTCTCACAAAACAGATTTCTATCACGTGACATATTGCTATTTACTCAACTCGAGGCGAACGAGTAAGTACTTACAAGGAAGTCAACCCCTACTTTTGATCGAGTTAACCTTAGCAAGCTCTCTTATGTGATCGGAGGAATGATGGCATTCGAATAAGAAAACTACACAATGTACGGTTACGAGCGAGCATAAAATATGTTTTTAGAGGATTTTGAGGGTGCCGAGTTTAAATGTTTGGTCCATTTTTCGCGACACAAGAAAGCAATATCAAAAAATTTCCGTGTAATGCTGGATAACTTTGCTAGTGTATTCAGAAAAATGGAAAATCGATCGATTAGTTAAAA